AATCTCTTCGTCTCACTACGAAGAACCCGAATCCACTTTGACCCGACCCAAATCGGAAGTGGACCCCACTGATAATTGTATCACAAAATAGCCACTTAAAATTCCATTTTAATGCTATTTTTCCAACAATCCCCCATATAAATGAAAATTTGATTTTCAGGGTATTTTGAAATCAAAAACAACGGTGTTCAACGGTCAATCCCTGCATAAGATAGGTAGGGATCACTATACCCTTTGAACTTTCCCTTGTGAAGATATATTTACTCTACTAGCTGTACGGTAGAACGCGACGTCTTTGAACCGACTGGCGTTTGTGTAGACAATGACATATCTCACACAGGAACCTCCCAACCATGCTCTGTTCTCATGAGTGTGCACCTTCCTAGTTCTGCAAGAGTTTGTGAAGAATTGTGCCCATCAATTCTCCTTTGAAGCGACCCTCACTTCTCTCTCACATAAGTGATTCTTTCTCGAGTATCCCGCATACTCACATATGTCAACCGACATTCAAAACATTAAAGCATCAACGTGATAGCCTCGTGCGGGAGTCACTGTTTCTACTGAGGAGTGTTAGGGATTCCGAGACCCCCACAATGACACGCTCCATTCCATAATTTAGTTTTCCCATTGAACCTAGGTATCAGCTAGGTTGGGTATCCACTATAGAACTTTTAGTCCAAGGGCTTTAAACCCATTCCTCGTTCCAACTTCTCAACAACCATTTGCTTACCATCGGGTTAGCGAGTTAGCGGTCGCTACGTTATCTTTTGACATCTCGTAGTCAATAGCGATAACCCCTGTAACCCTGTTGTGAGAAATTGTTTAATGGTATTATGTCTACGACTTATACGTCTAGACTTACCATTCCACATCTAACTCTATACTGAACCAATTTTGGCTTGACTATCGCAATGCACACAAATTGGAGGTACAAGTATACCTCTAGGAACATTCCTGGAAAATGGCATAGTCATTCGGCCTACTTGCTCGCGACACGAGTCTAAGGCTCTCAGCTTAGATCCCGTCATGGATCTTAGCTTTCACAAATCGTTTCGAGAATTTCTATACAATCAACTGCACTGGCCTACGTATACACGTAGCCTTTAATGGACTTAGCGTCCTTTGATATCGCCTTAACGTGCTATACTTTTCAAGTACAGCTAGATATCCCACGTAGTGCAGTCCAAAGTCACGAGCACACCTTAAGTATCTCACTATTGCCTTCTAGTGCGTAACACTAGGGTTACTCGTATATCTACCGATTTCGTTAACCGCAAAGGCAATATCCGGCCTAGTACAACCCATTTGATACAATTAAACTACTAATAATCCGAATGTATTTTCCGTGAGAAGTACAATCTTCGTTATTATTGGCTAGTTGTACGTTAGTATTTAACGGTGTCCAAGCCACTTGATTAACATCCTTTGTAAGGACTCAATCAACACAAAGAGATTGGCTTACCACAAGACTGTACAATCTTCTCACGATTTAAATCTCAAAGATTAAATCTGTCAAACTCACCTCTCATGTCAAATCTCCTGGTAGAATTGATCATTACTGCTCACGATGAGTTCATTGTGTATAAACAAACAGTGATATCACCGTCTATCTTAAGCATTACGCAGATGCACTTTCACTTTCGTTTATACTAAACTCGTTGGTCATCATTGTATGATCAAACCTCACATGCCAAATACTAAGGGAATTATTTTGAACCATACAATGATCTCACCAATTACGCACTTTCTTTTCACAGCGTGGAACCATAAACCCTCAGGTCATTCCATGTCTACTAAGAAAGTGATTCATCCATTTCGATAAACTTCCAAGTCTCGCTAAACGGCTGTGCCAAGTATCATACTAATGGATTTCATTCTCATCACAAGAGAATACATATCGAAGTAACCGTGGCACTCGCATTGCATGTAATCTACAATTACAAGCCCGGCCTTGTACTTCAATATAACCAACCGATTTTTATCTTCCGATACGTGATCCAATAGGATCCAAAGGTTTTACAGCCTGGAGGAAGAACAACCAGTTCCAAGTATGACTCTTTAAGATAGAATCTACTTCACCTCGGTAGCCTCTCTCGGGTTGGTCCATCTGTAGAAGTCACCACTTCTACATACGTTCGAGGCTCATTTTCTAACAACCTTGTCAGAAAATTCAATTCATTTTCTAGTAAACAAGTTAGACTGTGCGCATCACATTCTAACATGTATGTCAGAAAATTTGGACCAAGGGATTTTTGAATCCTAGCTCTCTTGCTACGTCTAGCTTTGAGCTCGGATTCTCTTTCATACCCTCCAACCATAGCTACGTCGAAAGTTCATTTCAACGTGCTAGGTCCTTTTATTGAATCTTCATAGAAATGCATCTTCTAAAGAGCGACAAATTTCTTTATTCAATTTATCGTGTTCTTATGTACATCCAAACTATAGGACACGTGTACTAAGAACCAATAAACGCCTTTGGCAAGACACCCCCACATTTCAGGTATTAGTAGGAAAACTTCCTACGTACCCACAATTCGTAAGAATTTCATGCGGGTAACCTTATTTAAAAGGTACTTACTTGTCCAAAGTATTGTCACACCCCACACACCTTGAGGTAAACCCGAACTTATCAACGTCTTGATATTTATGTTCGGCAACAACGTTTGACTGAGGTGAACACCATGTCGTACGCTCGAGTACGATACCAATGCTTGCGCAGAAATCACCAATAGGTGTTTCACGTTCACCACATCGATCGCTCGTAACCGCATTAATCCATGATTAATTTGATTTTCTCTTTTATTCTTATAATGAATAAACATGTGCTACACGTTAGCACATCTCGTAGGTGCGAACAAATCAGCACTTACGAATCCGTTCGGAATGACCAAAAGGCCAAAACCCGAATCAATGCGACAAGCGATTTAGCTATAGCACCGAGGCCGAATCAATGCATAACGCATTGACTCGTGCCTAGCTATAGCACTGAGGCCGAAGTAATTTACATGAATCGTGTAATTACCACCAATTATCACAGATTAAAACTTATACTTAAGCTTAATCAACTAGTAATTATATTGCATAATTACTCTAACAATTCTGTGTTGTCAATTCCAAAGCTAATTACATTTTCCAAGCACTCCACGAGTCCTAAGTAATTAGCACAACGAAGATTAGAGCTAATCTTAAGTGCTAAAGTAATTAGCATTTTCCTATGCAATTTCTATTGCTACAAATTATAAACTCACAGCAACATTCGGTTGCTTAATTTATAATTCCAGTGCTTATTAGCTAATTACAAAAATTAGCCAAGCATCGTTTCATTAGTGCTATCAAGCACTATCATTCGTTCTATTAAACGCTAGTATTAGTGCTTTTAAATAGCACTTAACTAGTGCTAAGTTAATTAGCAATACAGTACTACTTTTATCTTGCACTCTCCGTTAGTGCTACGAAAGTACCATCCAACAAATCATTATTTGTCTCAAATAAATTTTAAACTAGTATAATTTGGAATTTTTGATCAAGTTAATTTTAACACAATTAACCATATCAAATCAACCAAATTTTTCGACTAGTTGAATCAAGCCTATATAATCGTACTCAAAATATTATATAAAATATTCAACACTTGAGCTGTGACGCTCACGATTATATAGCTATCCCAATTTTTGACAAATTGATTCTACTTTTGAAATCTATATCATATCGTTCAACATGAACTAGAACCGAAGTCCTTTTACGAGATTTCAAACATGTAACACGCTTGTTACATTTCGTTCCGGTCGTTAAGCCATTTTAGCATTTTCCCACATAATGCTACGTGATGTTCAAAGCATCCTTATTGAATCTTCTATATATTAAAATATCACACAAGAGTATTTTAAAATATACAAAGTTCAACCCACACAAACGGAATAATTCATTTTATTCAATAATAAAATATATCACAGGGATACTACAACATTTATTTAAAAATAAATAAATAGGAAAATAAATTGGAAACAAATTCCTTATTCCTATCTCGTAGCAATCCTTCAAACCCGTGTGCCTTGTTCTTTTTTTCAACCGTCCACTCCACGAAGGGTGGTCCCATAGCGCACATCAGGGTACCTGTTATAGAAACCTCGGTTGTGACCTCACTCGTCCAACCATCCACATTCTTTAACCCAAGCGAAGTTGTCTGCAACCTTTTCACCAGGATAACGGTTCACTTCGTAGTGACTGCTCACTTCTTCCTCATAATCATCTTCAGGCCTAAACTTTCGTTTGTATTTCCCTTGATTATCGTTGAAGACGTTGGTCATACTACAATAGTCCTCAGACCATGTAGTGATCACATAAACACTGGATCCTTCGTGGCTTTTCGCCGATCCACTAGGCAACACAATAGGTACCAATTACGTGCCATTAGCCACTAGTCTACCAGTTCGTGAACCAACGTTCTCTGGAGCACCATCGTGTGTTTTTGCAACTCTCATGAAAACATCATTTCCAACATTGTTGTCGTCAACCGGCATCACGGAATGTGAAACATCGTTGCCGTTCCGACCTTGAAAGTGCACCACGAGCAACATTCACGGATCCAACACTTTTGGAATCCATCAACTTGTTCATCCAAAACAAATAAGATTTTAAGATTGTTGGAAATAATGAACCAAATCGATTTAATATCCCAAAATAATATTTATATATACACACGAAAATATATAAAATATTATTGGATATATATATATATATATATATATATATATATATATATATATATATATATATAACGGACCCAAAAGATATATATACATATATATCTATGGAAAAAGATATATAAATATACATATCAACCAAAAATTGGAACTTATAATCCTCAGATTATAATTCCAATCCAACAACTATATCAAATATAGAGAGAGAATTTTTGCTTAGAGCATAATCCAACACGAAAGAAGGAGAAGAAAATAGGAAGAAAGAAGGTAAGTACGAGTCAGGTGAAGTGCCATTTTTCCTTAAAACCTTATTTCCCACCCCCCAAAAATGCTAGGAGCGTTGTGGCCTAGGCTTCCCAAGATAAAACGTACTACGGTTCGACGTTTGAGCACTCAAACGAACGAACCCAGTGAACTAGAGCACGCGTAGAACACATTATCAAGAAAGGAGAAGAAGCAGAGGTTTTGGAGATGGAAAACTTGCAAGTGTGTATATCTATTGTTCTAGTTCGTGAAAAAACACTGCTTCTACACTCGTTCGTTCTTATATAGGGTTGTTGAACTCCAAAAGCATTAATTGTAAAATTAATTCTGTGACATTAATAATAATAATAATAATAATAATAATAATAATAATAATAATAATAATAATAATAATAATAATAATAATAATAATAATAATAATAATAATAATAACAATAACAATAATAATAATAATAAAATCTATACTATATATAAAAACAAAATCCAGAAATTTTAACTTCCCGCCCAATTCCTAAAAAATCTATACTATATATAAAAACAAAATCCTGAAATTTAATTTCTCGCCCAATTCCTAAAAAATCTCTCTTCCTAATAAAATATATTGATTTCTACTTTCTCATTGGTACAATAATTCTGGGTTAAAATTGTATTCTAATATTATAAAATAGTGTAATACAATTCTTATTATAATTTATATCTATACTATATATAAAAAAAAACAAAATCCTGAACTTTTAAATATAGGTATACCATTAGGTCATTTTACATGTTAATTTAAACAGCTAATTTTTTTCAAATATCTTTTTACCAACCGTTGATATAATTCGCTGCTCAAATCCGCTAACTATTGATTATCAAACAAGGACATTGCGAGGTAGTTCTCACTTCAATTTGTTATTTGATTTGAATACTCTCTTTGTCAACAAATTTCTCAAATAGTTAATATAATTGACTTTATTAATTATATTTTTAAAATTTTTTCATGGTATTAATAAAATATTTGGTAAATAAATATATAGCATTATTTTGTATTATAACTTTGATATTTAATTAAAAAATAGTGCACAAAAGAGATAATAGACAATGCAGTGAATATAACCAATTGATGAATTTGAATGTAAAGAATTTTTACATTGGAGAAATATAAAGATAATATAACTAATAAAATTATTTCTCTTATTTTTTTTTTTTTGAATGTTACTGGCCCTATTACATTATTTCTCTTATTTAATTTATTGATAATGAATAATTTTTTTTTTTTTTTGAATAAAGACATTGTAGACACACAATTCAAAATTAAAGAAATGCATATGTATTATTTTTTGTTGTAGCTACTAAATTATTATTTTTAATTTTTAATTTAGTAAGAGTAAAATAGAATACTAATTATGTCAATTTTGATTGGGATGAGGTTCGAACCTAAGACCTTTCTTATTGAAATCAATGAGTAAGTTAACGGTGAACTAACAGAAATTAACGAAGAAGATAATTTTTAACCGAAAAGTTAAGAGATAATCATATAATTAAGGATAAATTAGTAAATCTCAAAGAAAAATTAAAATCTGAGCCATTCATTTAATTACAAAATTTAACCACCATTTTTTCTATCATTATAGGTCTAACTCTCCTGGGTTCTTATTAGTATAGTTGATATATGGGTTTGGAAGTTGGAATCCATAATCAAAGTTAACGTAGCCCATACTTTGTGGACCAAAATGATACATCTCCTCGAATGTGAGGATTTCCTTAGGATGGTGGACTCTATTCAGACTCTATATATGCAGGTAACATATTGAGCTTGTTTGGTTATCAGCGGTTAGCGATTAGCGGTAGCAGGTTGTGTTAGCGGTTATCAGATAGCGAATTGTATTAGCGGGTTTGACCAGCAGATTATATTAGCGATTTATAAAAACATATTTGGTAAAATTAACTGTTTAGATTAGCGGTTAACATGTAAAATGACCATAAGGGTATACATTATAATTTATAATTTATAATAATAATAATAATAATAATTTTTAAAAAACAAAGAAAAAAAAAACGAAGGGAGCAGCGCAAGCTGCTCCCCTCTTGTATTCCCACTTTTCCCACCGTCCCACATCAGTGGGAAAAGTGGGAATGGAGCCTTGAGGCTCCTATTTAAGGAGCCTCAAGGCTCCACAAATTCGTGTTGAGGAGCCGTTTTGGCTCCCCAAATTGAGGAGCCATTTCGGCTCCTCAAAATTAGTTTTAAGTTTATTTTTTTTAATTAAATATAAACAGGGGCGTTTTGAGGAAAATTTAATTTTCCTCAAAATGCCAACTGCAAACGCTGCATTTTGCAGCGTTTGCAAAAGCAGCGGTTTGGAGCAAACCGCTGCTAACCATAACGGTTTTTTTTTGCGGTTTGACATGGTCAAACCGTCAAAAATGGCGGATCCGCCAATAACCAAACATGGACATTATATGGCAAATTATATCGTGCACCGCGGTACATAATCGATTATGCACCGAGCGTCAGACACTACAGTGTGTCTAAATCGACACTGTCAAATCGACGTCGTTTTATTTAATGAAAAGAAACAGAATCTTCGCAAAAAATAACTCTGTTCTTTAGTTTCATTTTGTATACACTGCAGTTTCAGTTCAACACAACTACAGTTTCATTTCGATATAACTACAGTTTCATTCAATATTTATACACTCAAATATGCGAAAATGTTATTTAATTTTATTTTATATACACTATATTTTCATTAAAACACAACTACATGATCATTTGAATATAATTACAGCTTTATTGTACAATATACACTCAAATATGTGAAATATTATTCAGTTTCATTTTATATATACTGTAGTTTCATTTCACCACAACTACAGTATCATTTTGATATAATTGTAGTTTCATTTGATAATATAAAAATAATACGTGAGCCAGTGTTGGTTTAGACACACTATAGTGTCTGACGCGCGGTGCATAATCGATTATGCACTGCGGTTCATGATATAACGACCCATATTATATACATAGGGTCTATCTAGAAACCCATAAAATAATTTTTGAAAAATGTTTTTTGAAAAATGAATTATTTTTCAGAACAAAAAATCTCCTTTCTAGTGTTTGGATGCACAATAAAAAAATTGCCTTTGTGTGTTTGGTTTATTTTTTTAAAAATGAGTAGGAAAATGAATAAAATTGTACACTTCAACATTTTAATTGTTATATATAAAAAAAATCATTTTTATTTTTTTCTATCTATCTATAAACAAATAAAATTTTAAAAATATATAAAACACACTTTTTTATATAAAATATATATTAAAAAAGAAATATTTTTTATATTTAAAAAATAAAAAATAAATAAAACCAGAGGAACTCTCTGGTTTCCGCAGTCACCAGAGGAAATCATGTTTTTTACTGTCCATAATATAATTTGCAAGGATTTCCTTATTAGGCTTAGCTAAAAATTAGAGTGTGGTAACCCTGGAAGTATTGCTCCAGCAGCAGGGTGGAGGTTCGATTCCAACTGAAGACATGGGCCCCTTATGCGTAGAGTGTACATGTAGGGGTAGAAACTAATGACTGATTGGGCGACTTGAGATTTATCTAGTCCAGCGCCTTTGGGCAGGGGTTCTAAGGGTTTAGAATTAGTTTAGCGTAAACTAAGAAGTTTAATGTATCCAAAAAAAAAAAAATGGATTGTGGATTTAAATTTTTAATTTCCTTTTTTAAAATACAACAAAAAAAAAAAGTTAATTAAAGAAAAAGATATATGGGTTGGGCTTTTATTTAAGTAAGAGTAAGATTTTATGAGTGTGATCGGACTCGAATTAGTTTTACAGTGGAGAAGAAATTGAATGTGATATGAAAAAATAATAATAATCAAAACATTGTTGTAAAGTGTGATGTCCGTTGGCTCTTTAGTTCCTAACCGGTGTGTTGCAAGCAATTTAGAATGAGTTAATACCCAAAATCGTCCTCGACTATAGTGGTTTTTCTCAATTTCGTCCTAAACAACTTTGGTGACCTAATATCGTCCCAGACTTTTGTGTTTCGCTCAATTTAGTCCCAGACTTTTGTATTTTTGCTCAATTTAGTCCCTCATTTGTTATTCTGTCCATTTGGTGTTAAATAAATAGACAATTCAGTAATTTTAATATTGGCATCTCTTTACTCATAGACATGTGAACTGCGAAATCCCTTTTTTTTTATGAATTACTCCCAGAACTACTCCTAAAACTACGAATATAAAATTTGATTTGCAGGTCCAGGAGTAATTATGGGTGTAATTCGTACAAGAAAAAGGAATTTCGCACTTCACAAGTTGAAAGTAAAGAGAGATCAATATTGACATTACTGAATTGTCCCTTTATTTAACACCAATTTGACGGAATAACAAATGGAGGACTAAATTGAGCAAAACACAAAAGTCTAAGACGATATTAGGTCACCAAAGTCGTCTAGGACGAAATTGAGAAAAACCACTATAGTCGAGGACGATTTTGGGTATTAACTCAATTTAGAATATAAACTAAAGCAGGAAAAAGTAAAAAGGTAAAATAGAAATAAGAGTGATCAGAAGAAGGAATCAGCAAGCCTTCTCATTACTTCCTTTTACAATGTATATATATATATATATATATATATATATATATATATATATATATATATATTCTACAATGGATAGTTGTGACAAATCAAGTCATAAATACTAAGCTAGCTGTTAAAAATCATGTCATTAAGCACCATAATAATTGCCATAAATAATATTTTATAACACTCCGCCTTGACATTATTTTGCCATAATCATGTCTCGTTAAAAACTTGCGAGAAAAATCATGTGGAAAAAAAACCTAAACAAGAAAAGAGTACATGATATATATAAAATCATATATTGTATTTGTGCTGATAACGTGTTGTAAAGTGTGATGCCCGTTGGCGCTTTAGCTCCTAACCGGTGTGTTGCAAGCAGGGGCGGAGCCAGGATTGGATAGTGTGGGGGGCCAACTACACTTCAAGTATTAAATCAAATATATTGATATCCATTTAACATATTTCAA